AGGGGAGGAGGCCCCCGGGGCCAAAGATTAAATCACAGTGAAACTGTCACAGTCGCTGTGGCATTAAGGGAGAAGGAAGAAGCCAAGAGGCCACTGAGGCAGGCAGTGGGAAGGCCAGAAATCCCCTCTGACCCAAAAGGAGGCAGGAGAGGGGGGCGGGCGGGGTGGGCATGGGAGAACCCAGAGCCCAGATGCCTAGGAAGCCAGGCCCCGCCCAGGGCCACCAAGGCCCAGCTGAATGCAGCCAGGAGCGCCTTGCTCACAGGAAGCTCATCCCTACCACTCCAGCAGGGTTGGCAAGGACACAGCACAGGGGGGCTGTGCTCAGAGGCGGAGTGGCTGCCACACATGCACAAGGTGACCATGATCGAGGCTCTGAATTCCATTCCAGATCGTAAACAAGGACAGCGTGTTCAAGATCATCCCGGGTTCACGTCCCATCTTCCCTTCCGCCAGTCATGGGACCTTAACCCACTGGCAGGGGCCGCACATCCAGCAGGGTGCTCGTTCAGCACGGCATGGCAATGAGGGCTACCTAGTGCACACGTCCACAGCAGAGCTGCTCTACAGACCTCTCCCCGGGCACTCAAAGCAGCGGCTAATCACCCAGCATTAAGGGTCTCATTTGAGTCTCACAAGAACCCTCTAGGTAAGTGCTATTTCCTCCTTTTTATAAATTAAGGATCAGAGAGGTTAAATCACTCGCTCAAGGTCACACAGCAGAATTTGAGCTGAGGACTGTAACCCCAGAGCTTCAATGCACGGCTACCCAGATGCCCCAGGGAAAGACCTGTGTCCCTGGGTGGCTGCTGTCAGCTAAAGGTCTCTCTCCCACCTCAGCACCAGGGACCTAGGGAGGGGCCCGAAAGCAGGAAGGAGCAGAGAGCATTTGCCGACTATCTGGTCAACCAATGGAGGCAGGCACAAGCCTGAAATATTCCCAACTGACAGGAAGGATGCGGGATTAGCCACTCCACCAGCCTCACAAACCATTCAGGGGCCGATTTTCTCTCGAGATAATCCCCTAAGTGGCCTCAGAAAAGAGCCCAGCGGGCTGCAGCCCACACGCCTGTCCAGCCAGCCTGTGAGCAAAATGAATGGCTTGCTGTTCTCTGCAATGCCCTGGGCACCGACTGTTCCACTCTGAGGGGCGCTGGCCAGCCCCGGGGGACGGCGGCCCAGACGGGGAGCGGGCGTCTCCCAACTGCGCCAAGCGTGGCTTGCTTCCTTCTCCGTCGGACCCCAGCTTCCAGCTGTGCATGCCAAAAGCCAGGCGAGGGGCTGGCTGTGTCACAAAGAAACACAAGAAGATCCTCCGCCTGTGGCCTTCTGCGACTCCACCGAGCGAACTCCAAGTCCAAATGTTCCAGAGTTTCCTCCATTTCTTTCACCTCCCACTCCACCCAATCTGTCAGCAAATAGTCTCCGTTCTACTTTCTTCTCTGTGCCTCCCCGGCCACCTGCGCAGGCCACCATCGTGTCCTCCCGGGACAGCTGCAGGCTTTGCTCACTGGTTCTCCCATCCTGTTTTGCTCCCCTTCGACCCGCCGCTCTGGGGACCCTGTTACCACCAAAGCCTTCCTCGAACGAAGGGCTGGAGAGGACGCGGAGCGGTTCGAACCCTCACCTGGGGCCGGTGGGGCTGGAAAACGGCGCAGCTGCCTTGGAAACGAGCCTGGCGGTTCCTCGCACAAGGTGCAGTTACCCTGTGACCCAGCAACAGACCCCAAGGAAGGGAACACACGTGCTTTTGCAAAATCCTGCACACGCGATCCACGCTGGTCACAAAGTGGAAACAACGCGAAGCCCGCGGCCCGAGGAACGGCAAGGTGACACACCCGCACACTAGAATGGCAGTTCATTCAGCAACAAGGACCGGCACAGACTCAGGCCGCGATAAGGGTGAGCCCGGGAAACATTATGCTAAAGTCAAAGCGGCCAGACACACTCCATTTACAGAACCGTCCAGAAGAGCAAGTCCAGAGACGGCGATGATTAGTAGTGGTCTCCAAGGCAGCGGGGGTGGGGGGATAACTGATTAACAGCTACGGTTTCTTTAGGTGATGAAAATGTTCTGGAATTAGGTCACGATAGTGTTTTTCCAACATAGTGAATATACACCAGGAACCACCAGATTATATACATTAAAATGATGCATTTCATATTAGGAGAACTACATCTCAACTTTTTAAACTCCTGTCATTTCCCACCTCACTCAGTAAGCAGCTAACAGAAGCTCTCCAGCCCTAGACCACCCGGACCCTCCGCGTTCTCTCCAACTTCACTGCTTCTGCTCAGTCTCCACCAACTCAGCCTGGGTTCACCCCAGGGCCTTAGCACCTGCTTTCCCTTTACTGGTAAAACTTGTCCCCCACTTCCTTCCAGCCTTTGCTCGACTCTTCCTTCTACCTGAGGCCTCCTCTGACCCTGGAGCTCCCTGCTCCCACTCCTCCGGCCCTGCTGTGTTTGTCTCTTATGGTATTTATCACCCTCAAACATACTTTAGCTATTTTTCGTTGGTCCTCATCTTCCCCATCAGAATGAAAGCTCTGGATATTTCAAATTTTGGCTTTTATTCACCCGTCCCTGGACTCTGGAATACTGCCCAGCACACAGTGGTGCCTGTAATTCCAGAGAGGCGTCTCCAACTCCCTCCCAGCCCATGTTACCCTCAGTCACACGATTTTGCCAGTCTGGAGGCCCCGGAGAGGCGGGGTCCATTCCTCCCGCCCAAATCTGTGCTGGCCTGTGACTCCCTTTGACCAGTAGAATGGGGGAGAAGCAACTGCCACCGTTTGAATGCGTCCTCCACAGACTGATGTGTTGGGAACTTAACGCCCATGGTGACAGCGCTGAGAGGCAGAACCTTTCAGACGCTCTGCCCTGCTGTCATCTGGGGAGCGGGTTCGTTACAAAAGTGAGTTGATTCCCTCACGTCTCCTTCCCAAGCTCGCCTCCATCTGACGCTTTCTGCTTCACTGTGACTCAGCAAGAAGCCCCAGGACAGACGTGACCGCTCCATCCTGGACTCCTCAGCCTCCAGAGCCACGAGCCAAGTAAATGCGTCTCCATCCTAAATAACCCATTATAAAAGGATCTGCCACTGCCGCAGATAACGGACCCAGACAGCCACGCTCTGTGACTCCTGGGTCCAGGCCTTGAGAGACCTTGCAGTCTACACCCCCCTCAGAAGCCCCTGACCATGGGATGCAGTCCAGGGATCCCACGGCAGAGGCCGTGCAAGGGCTGCAGGCTGAGAAGACTGTGGTGCGGCCCCAGTGTATTGAACTCGGCTTCTGAGAGGCCCCTTCCACATCGCGGGCTTCAGTGGCTCGGGATAGTTCGTTTCCCAGCGGTCAGTAACCAACACAGTACTGAATGGATACTCACTGCAGGAAAGAAGGTAAGAAAAAGGAGCAAGAAAAAGAGGAAGAGATGTACCCTCAGGGTGAGCTACTGCCATTGCTTCTCAGACTTTTGGCTAAGGTCAAGTGCAGGATGAGCTATTGCCTAAGAAACAGCAGCCTGGACTTCACGCTGTGTGGCCTTCGCTCCGCCTCTGACTGTCTCTGTACTTCAGTTTCCCCCTTTGACAATGGCGGGGAAAACACTTCTCTAACCTGAAACGGTGGCACACACCTATAGACCCAGCACTCTAGGAAGCTGAGGCAGGAGGACCACAAATCTGAACCCAGCCTGAGCAACTCACTGACTCTGTGAGACCCTGTCTTAAAATTTAAAAAATTAAAAAGGCTGAGAAATACAGTTCATTGTGAAGACCCTGAGGTCCACACCAGTTCTACAAAATAAACAAGTGAATAGAATAGGGAAGAAGAGAATAGGGAAGAGACTCTTCAGACTTAGGACAGGAGCTAAGTCAGGGCCGTTCCCAGGAAGTGACCTCGCTGTAATCCATGACTGCAGCTGGGACCTCGATAGGGTCTCCAAACACAGAATCCAGGCAGGTAACAAATACAAACGAAGCTGGCCTGGCTAAACAAAATTTTCTGTAAACTATTGGTTTTTAGTTGCCTATTTTTGATAGGGGAAAAAAAAGCAGCACCAGTGACGTAATAAACAGCAACTGATGGTCAGGTTCATGACGGCGGGGAGCCACTGAGGCACACGGGAGACCCCATGTGCACCAAAGCGGTGACTACTTGGCACTAGCTTTCGCCAGGTGGGATGGGCCAGACCTGCTCTGTCCAAGATGAAAATTCTCCCAATTTGAAAAATTTTAAACCCTGCCAAGGCCAAGTAAACTGTCTGGGGGCTGAACGTGGCCTTCAAGCCTCTGGCTAATCAGCATCTTCGAGACACAAACATGTAGGAAAAGTCCAGGACAGGCAAAGCTACAGAGCAGGAGATGGGAGCACAGCAGCAAGGCATATGGGGTACAGGGCTTCTTTGGGGGCAATGAACATGCTCTAGGAGTGACCATGGCTCAGTCACACACTGAATATATTAAAAGACATTAAGTTGCACAGTCTCAGTGGGTGAAACGTGTGAGAAGGATACGCTCCGTGACGCTGTCTAAACAGCTGCGTGCACACACGAATCTTAAAACCGCCAGGCCTGTAGCGCCCAGGCAGAAAAAGCAGCTGTCTCTGGACACAGATGAAATGAAAGCAGAAAGCTCCTGAGCGCTGGGGGTTAATTCTGTGAACCTCTAACAGCCTTAGGTTTGGAGCACAAACGACGAAAGACCTGAGAGAGCAGGCGACAGCCCAGTCCTCAAGAGAGAGACGCCTGTCCCGGCCCCAAGAGGCCCGGACCTTGAGATTTCAGGGTCCAGAAAAGGCTGGCCCCTCCACGCTGACCCTGACTTTCCAGGACGTTAATGGCCTCAGTGACCAGTATTGAAAACGTGTTCACCCTCAGGCTCAGGCTTCCCCTCCCGGGGATTCACCCAGCACATCTGTGTGAACACAAAACGCTGCGCGTACTGAGCGCCTCACTGCAGCGCATGCGTCAGAGCAAACGGCTGCACGTGACCTCAGTGCCCGTCCACAGAAGAGCGGTCACGTGAGTGAGAAGTCAGCCGAGAATCTGCCCAGCTGCTAACGCTCTGTGCACTGAAACATGTTGACGTAGACGGCGGAGGTGACAGCAGCGGGGTGAGGTACCTTGGAACCTGCCTGGAGGAGGATTTGCAATGTGTAAATAGTTTTTCTTTAATTTTAAAACAAAACTTATTTGTTAACAATCAGTTCCAATTTACTTTAAAAGAACCGCAGGCCAGAGAGCTAGAATTAGTGGCACGCTGAGGGAGGCTGAGACAGGCGACTCTCAGGTTCAAGCCCAACCCGGGCAATTTAATGACTTAGAGAGACTTTGTCTCAAAATAAAATGAAAAGGGGTGGGAATGCAGCTCGATGTAGAGCACCCCAGGGTTCAATCCCTAAGATTACAAAACAAAACAGCCCTACAAGCTGAACTTTCTCCCGCAGGTGCAGCAAAGGAATAAACTCAGAACCAGTGAGCACATTAAGAGAAGCACTGGCTCATTCGGACCATGCCTTCAGCAACACCGAACACAGAATCCTTGAGGTAAGCTGGTGCAAGAGGCAGTGCAGGTGAGAGCAGATTCCCCACACTGAGCCCATAGGGAGGGTTGAAATTGCCTCTTCCAAACATGGCCCAGAACTGTCGTGCGGTGTGTGTATTGCCCCAAATCTCCAGTCACCGAGGACCTGGTGCCCTTGTACCCTCTTGCCCCCCAGCACAGGGTTGCAACTGGGATCTGCTCAGACACCTTGCAACAAATCATCCTAACCACATTCCCAGGCCTCTTAGGAGGGGCCCAATCCTCTGGTAAGTGGTGTCTGCAGATCGTCTCGCCCAGCCCCACAAACTTCCTCAGTGTGAGGGGACAGGGCACAGAGAGAGCGGGGCACCGGCCAGATCCACACCTGGGCCAGGAGTCCTAGCCCATGTCCTTCCCTCTTGACCCTCCAGGGCAGGTCATGGAGCACACCCTCACGCACTCCTAATGGATATTTCTTTTACCAACACACATCAGGTGCTGAAGACCTAGGAGCAAGCAGGACTTTGGGGTCCCTGACTCAGAATGAGGCGCAATCATGGAAACTGGGACCCCAGCAGGTCCAGGACAGAGCAAGCGGGCAGTCCCAGCAGGTCAGCCATGGGCACCAGCTGGGAGCACAGAAGCCAGAATCCAAGGCCTGGGCCTCCAGGGGATTCCCCCATTGCTTCTTCCTCAGCAGCCAAGCAAGTTTTCAACAGACCAACCAGACGGTCACTCCCAGGCTAAAGCCCTTCCTCCAGAGAGTTCTGTACTTTAAACCCCAATGTCCAAGATAGATACAGGCCTGAAACCCCAGGTACTAGAGAGTCCAACGCAGCAAGACTGCAAGTTTGAGGCAGCCTGGGCAACTTAGCAAGACCCGGTCTTAAAAAGAAAAGGGCTGGGGTTTAGTCAGGGGTAGAGGTCTTGCTTAACATGTGCAAGGCCCTGGGGTCAATCCCCAGCACAGGATATCAAAACAAAAGTTGAAAACATCCAGGCCGTACCCACACCAATGAAATCAGAATGCTGAGGGGCAGGAGCCAGGCACTGGTGCTTTTGTAAAGATGCCCGGATGATGCCAATATTCACAAAGCTCAGGAACCATTGCCACAGTCCAGCAACCTCAACCATGAGCACAGCCCACTCCACCCATCCAAGAGACTGGTCTGACGGAATCTGCTGTTCGTAGAGTACAAAGCAGCACACACTCGCTGCCTTCTAACAGTACTTACAGAAGACACAGCGCACATCATACTGTGGCCATCAGAGCTGATTCCTGATGCACCAGCCGGTCCCACTCAGAGCATCTGCCTGAGGGACTGGCCGTGCTCACGGGCACAGGAGTGCTTGCAGGCTTTGGAAAGTGGCTTATTTTAAAGCTTTGGTGAGCCTTGAACTTGGTCATTCTCTGCAGACAGAGCCATGGGCCTGTGGCTAGGAGCTTGGGGTGGAGGCATTCTGAGTACCCTGCACAGCCAGGGCTCCTCACACTTTCCGGATTTTTTTGTTCTATTTTGTTTTTGAGACAGGGTCTCCCTATATAGTGCAGGCTGGCCTCAAACTCTCAGTGATCCTTCTGCCTTAGCCTCCTGGGATTACTGGCAGGTGCTACCATGCCCAGCTCTCACATCATGGAAGGGTCTGGGTCAGGCTGGCCAGTCAGCTCCAACACCATACACCTGGGTGGCTGAGACATCATCCCTGGTCTTCCTGTCCCCTCACTGTGCATCCCAGCACCATAACCACGGCCCACAGGTCTGACCCAACCTGCCCCAGCTCACACCCGGCTCGGAGGGCTGAGGGCCTCACTCCAGGTCTCTCAGGCAGAATCTGCACTCCTCACAGCTCCAGGCCCTGGGCCACCCCGAGGTCACAGTGGGCAGTCCATTCAAGCCTCCCCATTCCTCTTACTTCTCCACCATGCATCTGTGGATCCGCTCTCCTCCGTCTCTGTGGGCTTTGGCACCGTTTAGTTATAGCCCTCGCTCAGCATCGGAGGAAACAGTCAAGACCCCTGCACAGACAAACCTCTGAGAATGCTCGGTAGCATTCAGTAGCACATAAAAGGGTGCAGCATTTGCGTAGAACCTACACGTGTTCTCCTGTGTATCTGAAATGACCTCCAGGTGATTTGTACTATTGAATGCAAAAGAAATGCTATGCAAACAACTCTTAGTGGCACCTCGGTTCACAAACTTGCAGAATCATGGAAAGAATCAGGTTGTGAACAGAGGTACCACTGTACTGCTTTTTTCTTTTCTAAGTCTGGGGATCAAACCCATGGTTTAGGCAGACTAGGCAGACACACTACCACTGAGCTATACCCCACCAATCCTACACGGTATTTTGAAATGTTTGTGTTGTTTTTATTGTCAAATTGTTATTTTTTCCAAATATTTTTGATCCATTGTTGGTTTAACCCATGGCTGTGGAACCCACAGACACAGAGCACTGACTGCTCTGATTTTACCAGACTGCCCAGCTCTCCATAGCAACTCCAGTCCTAGAAGACAGGCACCATTCTGTGCCGCCGGCATCTGGGACCAACACGCAGCCCATTTGCTGCATAGGTTTGAGGAAAAAGTTCACACGGTCCCTCTCTCTCTCTCGAGAGAGAGAGAACAGACTGTGCCGTGCAGACCACCCCCAGACCTGTAACCCAGCAGCTCAAACTTTCAAGTCCAGAGGGGACCATTAGGTCACAAGGTTGGGCTCAAGTCAGGTGTCCCAGAGGCACACAATGTCTGCAGGGCAGACATGAGAGGTATTCTGTTTCCACAAAGAGACAGTCTCTCGAGAAGCGTAGTGCAGCACGGGAGACTGAGACAAAAGGATCGCTGTGAGTTCAAGGCCAGCCTGGGTTACATAGTGAGTTCAAGACCAGCCTGGACTACATAGCAAGACTCTATCTAAAAAAAAAAAAAAAAAAAAAAAAAAAAAAAAAACCAAAAAAAAGAAAGGAAAAAGTCTAAAGTAGTTCAAGGGTAAAGTCACCGACAGGTTCTCTACGGGGGAGGTTTTTTTTAAATTTTTGTGACAGGGTTTCACTATGTAGTTGAGACTGACCTGGAACTCACTATATAGCCCAGGCTGGTCTTGAACTCACAGTGATCCTCCTGCCTCAGCCTCCTGAGTGCTGGGATTACAGGTGTGCACCACTACGCCCGGCCAATGGGGGGGTGGTCTTAAGCCCTTATCACTGGGACAAAACATGTGACATTTGAAACTTAGGACAAGAGATTTTAGCTGAAATCTCTGCACTTGGCAGGCTCAAATACAGGAACGGCATGGTGGAAGGGCCTGTCCTGGAAGACGGCTCACATCATGGCAGACAGGGAGTAGAGCGTGTGACAGGAAGTCTGCCTCCGGGCCACACTTCCAAGGACCGGCCTCTTCCTCCCAGACCCCACCCCTGGCAGCACACTCAGCTCTGAATTCTTCAGTGGATTAATCTACTTGTAAGTATAGTGCCCCGAGATCCAGTCACCTTCCAAACATGAGGCTCTGGGGGGACACCCAAGAGCCAAATCCTAACGGGGGATAGAGTTCAGTGGGGACTGTGTGCAAGGGGACACAACTAAGGGAAATAGGCCTACTATTACCAAACTTTCCATTAAAAAAATGAAGAATGCATCCTTCCAAGAAAATTCTCCATTTGAACAAACCTAGGTAGACTGAACCAAGCAGATCAGAGTGCTGGATCCCAACTCACAGCCCTGAGCTGCTCTGGGTCTGGACCAGCGAGTGTGAGGAGGGAAGAGGACTCTGGACACTCTGTCAGCAGGATTTGTAAGGATACTGTGGAAACCAAAGTTCACAGCAAAACATGTGACTTCCAAGTTGAATGTGAACCAACGAATCAGTTTTGTGGTGTCATGAACCCAAATAAAGATAGGTATAAAAAGCCATGTGTGTGAGAAATCATTCCTCTGTGGAATTTTTCCAACTTCAAGTACTTTCTTTCATATTTCTGATGGAAGGACTCAACAATTCAATGGAAAGCACATTAACTGACATACATATTCATGAGTTCACCTTTCCAGAGGTGTTTGACTTCTAACCCCACGTTTTGAACACGTTGACATATACCTCCCACAGAGCAGTCAGACGAAAGCTGAGTCCACCGAAAACCTGTGCTTTTCCACCTTATAGCCTCTCCAGCACCGGAAGGGGCAGGGATTCCCTTGACTCCGCCTTCCTGGCAAAAGCACTCAGGTCACGTCAGTCATGTGATCAGAGGCCCAGGGAAAAACTGCCTTGACCTCTTGCTTAGTCAGTTTGTCTAAGTCAGGCTCCAAGTGGCGATAAGATTTAGACATCTGGTCCTGGAATGGCCACTGGTGTTCAAGTTCCCCCTGAACACGTTGGTGTTGCTGGTCATGATGACCGGAGCCGGTTCCACTTGGAGGAGGATTTGCATTTCTGATTCACGAAGACCTCACTGGTCTTAGCCGATTCCATCATTTTCACTGTCATCTTTCCCTCCTACCACCAGATGATCAAACTGTCCACACAGTCTCTGAAAGTCTTCAGTTGTCCGCCTGAGGCAGCCATAGAAGGGAACGTCGTGGACAGCAGCCTCGCAAAGTTGGTCTTTCCCACGTCACAGGGCCAAACAGATGGTGTGTGGTTTTCCATACTGGCGATGGTGGCACCGTCCAACCAGCATTGCTGCCATTCACCTGGAAGATCTGACAGATCTGATTCTGGGGAATGGCCTCTGAGCTGTGGCAACCACCTGGGTCTTTTTGGTCAGGTTCGCGACCTCTGTGGAATTGTCCAGAGCTGACTTCATTTCATCCCTGGTGTTGCTGGTGGAGTTGAAGTACCTTAGATTCATGGTTTTTCCACTGCTATTCTGTGTTTTTCAAGCCAGTTCACGAGATCCCTAAATCTTCAGCTGGTTTTAGCCTTAATCACAGGACCATTATTTTCAGCCAAGTTGTCTTTTGAGAACTTTAAAACTCAGCCTGAGCCGGGCATGGTGGCTCAGGCCTGTGATCCCAGCCCTCAGGAGGCCGAGGCAGGAGGATCGCTGTGAATTCAAGACCAGCCTAGGCTACATAATGAGTTCCAGGTCAGTTTCAATTACATAGTGAGACCCTGTCTCAAAAAACAAAACAAAAATCCCTCAGCCACTGGTGCTCCTCCATGAGCCTCCTGAGTTCTCCACAATTGAGGGCTGCCCTTACACACTCTGGACATTTGTTTGCACCCACCGCAGTTCTGGTTGCTTCTTTCCTAGAAGGTAGGCAGGGCTGGAAATCTGTGCTCGAATCTTATTGGCTCCTCAATTTGAAATTTCAGTAGGGGAAATACAACCTAGAACTCTGGGTTCCACATTCCAATAGAGTACGTACAGTTTCTGACCTTCCTGAAAATTCAATTCACATGGCGATCAAGAACCATGGTCTTCATACAGGCAGTTTCTATCAGAAATGTGAAGATGGAAAAATTCTGACCCTTATTTTTAAACCATATGAAAAAGTTTTGATTTTGTAGTTCTCCATTCCTGTAGAATTTTACACTGAGCCTTATTGGCAATGGCAACTTAAATTGTTGAATTTGACTCAAGTCCAACCTTGGTTGGGGATCCAATTGACATAGCTGTAATTCCAGGAAGATGTTCATCTGTATGGCTGGGAATAAGGACAATCAGCTCCTAAAAGCGGACCGTGGCAGCAGCTTCTCTCCACAGAGCGAATGATTCCTAAGGTGCTCAGCTGGCCTTGTACACCCATTTTAGTTTCCGTTCAGGACTCTACAGCGGCTGTGCTTTGCGGTGACTGTTTAACTTTGGTGCCGTCCTTGTCGTGGCTCGAATTTGGCTCCCAAGGACTTGGTTCAGTTGCTTCTTGGCTTCAGTCCCGCTCACCCGGTCAAGGCTCTGGGTGTGTGAAACTGAGCCACGGTCCCTCCTTCACTTCCTCCCAGCGAGCCACAAGCCCCGCCTCTGGGCTAAACTTGTCCAGGTCCCAGCTCAAGAACCAAAGGGAAGCCTGGCTGCGCAGGGTAAGAAACTGTTCAGACTGTGGCATCAGTGCTCGCCTAGGAGGAGCATCGGTGTCCCTGCCATTGAGGCAGCTCAAGGGTCTCCCCTGAAGCTTTTCCCGGAAGAGGAAGCTCAAATGAGAGATTCTTAGCACTCACACCCTTAATCCTAGTGCCCTTGGGCCGAGCCCCACCATGAATCAATCACACTTTATCTTTTGTTTTGTTTTGTTCTTTGGGGACAGGGTCTCACTATGTAGTTGAGACTGACCTGGAACTCACTATGTAGCCCAGGCTGGTCTTGAACTCACAGCGATCCTCCTGCCTCAGCCTCCTGAGTGCTGGGATTACAGGCGTGCGCCACCATGACCAGCTCAATCACACTTTAGGTTCAGCAACCTATGAGAAAGTTTGAGGCTTTGGGGGACATCTAAACCAAGCTACAAGAGAGACAGAGACAGAGAAAACAGGAATTTGCCTGGGGCTGGCAATGCCAGGTCAGGGCACAGCTGCTACAGGCCTCACTAGCCATGTCCCACGCCACACTCCTCCCAGCTGCTCTTCCCTCCATCTCCAAGAAACCCTGCATTGTCCTACCTCAGAGCCTTTGAAAGGTCCATCCCTTCTGCTGGCCATGTTTTCTTTTGGGGCTGGCCAACTCCTATTCATGCTTTGAGGCCCACCCTAAAAAGGACAACCCCACCACCAACACACGCAGACAGTCACCTCCTAATCCCACTCCTGGGCAGTTACCATTCAGGCTCCAGTCTCAGTTTCCTTAGAGCAGCTTCCCCAGCCTTGACCTGAAGACACTCAGGAGCCCTGTGACAATACCTCTGCCTGGTGTGCCTCTGGCGCTCATTACAATTAGAGGACTCAGGTGTCCACACTTGCCTGCTGAGTGTCACAGGGTAGGGGTCCCCTGTCCCACTGCCTGTGGGGTTTCCAGGTCCTGCACAGAGCAGGGACTCGGGGTGCTGTGTGAAGCGGGTTCTACTTCTCTGGGACACCTGGGACATCCCGGGAGTTGGCTCCAGCTGGACTGAGACCATCTGCTCAAAAGCCCAACGTGGCCACAGCTGGGAAGGGGGGGGGCCTGTGCCTGGGCCGTGCCGGAAGCAGGCTTCCCTTTTCCGGCTCATTTGCTCACCTGGAAACATTTCCAGCCTGGGGACCAGCTAATGAATTAAGCTTTAAGTAGAGGCTGCACGTGACCCTGCTCTGGCTCAGTGTCTATTTCTTTTGGTAAATAAACTTCAGCAAACGCTCAGAGTGACTTTACTGCCTCACAGAGCCACGGGGAGCCGGGCTTCTCATTACGTCCCTTACAAATGAGCTCCAGCCAACCTGTTTCCAAGCTAAAGGAGCCCCGAGTGAGCAAACGAAGTTAACACAGCCTCTCCAGAAGAGGCGCCTAATAAGAGATAAAAGGAAGCTCGTTCTCAGCCCTGGGCACGGACTCTCACTGCTGCCGAGAGCAAGGGAAAGAACGAGAGATGCACAAACGAGGTTCACACCAGAGAAAAGTGGAAGACAACCTCAACACCCATCCCCGAGCTGCTGGGCCACCAGACCAAGCCAGCGTGAGGGGCTGGGCCTCCGACGGGGTCCGCTCCGCAGAGGGCCGCGGCTCGGACCCATTCACCAGTAGTCCATGAATTCTGTATCAGTTCCATGTCATCGTCCTAGGACAGCCTCCATTTGCTGGGCTACACAATCGGAGAACAGTGTCCTAGCCCCTAGGTCACTGCCGTGACACGGTGACACAGTCCCTGAACAGAGCCGCCCCCCAGGGGCACACAGTCTGTACTGGAAACGGGTGTTTCCTCGTCATGGGAGCTGAGACATAAAAAGGAGGCTGGGTGACACGAAGCCACCAACCCAACAGCGAGCGCTTCAGATGTGCCTGGTCCACAGATGTATCCAGTATTAAGAGCCTGGTTCCAAAGCTAAAAGAATTAAAATTTCATTAATTACACTAATTACATATTTAATGATAGCTATTTTAAATACAGTGAAACTGTTTTCACCTGTTCTTTCCCACATGGTTCCTAGGGCATTAACACTACACAGGAGGTTCACATTTGTGGCTTAACTTATAGAGCCGACCCTCAAGTTACAACCATCCTCACACACAAACAACTTGGGTTAATTAGGTTAATGGAAGACTCATCTGCCTCTTGTTATCTACAGAGTGGCCAGGGAAACATCCAGATCTCAGCTGTATTGACTTACAACCGACTTGACCTGCCCTGGGGAACGGAGGGAGTTTGTAAGTCAAGGGTCCACTGTTATTTCCGATGGGCAGCTCTTATACACTCTGACTCGGAAATCTGGCAATGTTACTGCTTCCACTGAGCTGTAACTCACCATAAGATCCACCTTTAAAGTGTACAGTTCGTGGGCTGGTGTTTTGGCTCAGTGGTTCCACCACCTGCCTCACAAACACAAGGACCTGAGTTCGACCCCGGTACCAAAAATAAATACATACATTCATAAAAGTGTACAATTCAGCAGTTTCTGTATGCTCAAAAGGCATCAACCACTTTATTTCCAAAACATTACCGGGAAACAGCAGCCCCATACTTTACTATTAGCGGTCACTACCAGTTTTTCCATGCTACTGCGTAAAGCAAGTTGCAAAACTATTACATCATCAAGTCTCTAACGTGTGTATACAAATGCATTTGTAAGTGCACTTTTAGACCTTGTAATGATGTCCACCAGACAATGCTGGTTTTCTCCGGGAACTGGTATTGAGGTGGAGGAGACAAGACAGAAAAATGCTCACTATTTAAAATATTTTCATACATCTTTTTTGATGTAGAGAGAATGGGTTGACTTGGGCCCCTAAGCAACTGTTGGTGAACTTGGGTAACTTTTCACAGGGCTGTCAACCGACTGCCTTTGGCT